GGGCTGGCGGTGGTGCCTGGGAGGGGTGCGAGCCCGGAGTAGGAACTTAGTGGGGCTTTACGTGCAGTCGGATGCTGCTGGCTCATCTGCAACCCCCTTGGCGCTCAGAGCATCCCTCTGCACAGCTGTTGAGGGCTGCATGCCGTCCAGGCTGGGCTTCACCCAGCCTGGGAGAGCGGGCCTGCCTGTGGGGTGCCACCTGGGTGCAGCCTAGCTCAGCAGGATGCTGGATGAGGCCACCCTGTCCATGGTAGCGCTGTGCGCTAGCTCGCGTGAGACCTGTGGTGTGGCCACCTGGCTGGGGCACGGGTGAGGGGAAGAAGGTCGCTGAGACGCGTGCAGGTGGAATAGCATCCTTTCAGCCAGCCCAGCAGAGGTGAGAGCGGGGAGGCATCCAGATGTGTCTGGAGAGGCTGGGGGGGGGGGGCGGGCTGGGGCAGCCCAGCGCCCCTATGTCCTCCCGAGTCTCCTCCGGATGCTCTTTTGCTGTGATCTCTTGGCGGACGCGTCCCCTAAGGGCACGCTAAGGGAGACGGGAACCCAGCAGGGGATGCTTCGGTCTACAGGGCAGTCCTGGGCCAAAGCTCCTCTGGGGCGATGATCAGGGAGCTGGAGCTGGTGCGAGTGAAAGGGGGCTGTGGCAGGAGCATGGTGGCATGTCAGGGAGTCTTGTCCTGTTAGCATGCGTGTCCCTGCTGTTCGTGACTTCTGGTTCTTCCCTTGTGCTGCTGGCAGGCCTATGAGCTTTCCACGCTGACAGGCACCCAAGTCCTGCTGCTGGTGGCCAGCGAGACAGGCCACGTGTACACCTTTGCCACGCGGAAGCTGCAGCCCATGATCACCAGCGAGACGGGGAAAGCGCTGATCCAGACATGTCTCAACTCCCCGGACTCGCCCCCGCGCTCGGACCCCACCACCGACCAGCGCATGAGCGCCACGGGCTTTGAGGAGACTGACCTCACCTACCAGGTGTCTGAGTCGGACAGCAGTGGGGAGACCAAGGTAATGGCTGCGCACCCAGGAGCGTGGCTGAGCACCCTGGGGCGCTGCAGGCTGTGCTGTGGGCCTGTACTGGGGGCCCTGAACGCCTCCAGCCCTTGTTGGGTAGCGGATTGGGAGGCCAGGGATGAATCTCCCCCTTTGCCGTGACTCCAGCAAGTTATTGCCATGGCCTCCCAGGGCTGGCTTCTTGACTTGGCTGGCCGTGGCAGTGATTCGGGGAGGCAGAGGAGCGGGTTGGCCGGTGTCCCGGCCCTGGCTTTTGCAGCGGGGCTCCCCCCGGCCCAGCCCACCCCCTGGGCAGCTCCCAGCGCTGTTATCTCTCCCTGGGCGTCTCCATGCTCTTGCACTCATTGATAAAAATTTGATTCTGCCTCCATGGCCTTATAAGGCCTGGTTTCCCTCGCCAGAGTCCCTGGCAGGGCCCCTCACATTCCTTATAAGCTGCAGCTGTCTCTTGCTTTGGTGCTGTTTTGGAAGGGGGCAGGGAGGACATGGGGAATGGAAACATTTGGCTGGACAGACCGTTTCTGCTCCCTGCCTGGCGTCCCTGCAGGCGCCGGCTCTTGCCTGCCCGTGTTACTCGTGGCCCTTCGCCCCGGGTGCTGTGGAGGGCCTGCTGGCGGGTGCAGAGCCAGGCGACCGCTCTCTTCTGCTGGGGAAAGTACCTGTTGTGTCTTTGGACAGGGGTTTCGTGTGGCCTTGCATCCCTGGGTGCTGCTCCTATGGCCCCCTTGTCCCTGGTGCTTGGGTCTGCGGGTGCTCAAAGCCGGGAAGCCAGGGTGTTGGTGGCACGAGGCTGGGATGGTGCTGTGAGCTGACGTTTGTGCTGCGGCTTCCGGGGTCTGCATGGAGCGCAGCTGGGGTGCTGTGAGCTGCTGCTGCAGATCTGCTGGACCTGTGCTCATGAGCTGGGTATCGGGCTTGTTGCAAAAGCACCCTGCCAGCTGGAGCTTTGGCCTGGCTGTCGGAGTCCTCTGGCTGGCTGTGCAGGAGCCTAGGACCGCATCAGTCTTGCCGTGCATTGGCCACTAAGCATGAAGCAAAGCTTTCAATGTCTCTGTGCTGTTGGTGGCGCTAAAGGCAGCGGGTGCAGCCCCGAGGCATGGCCCCGCGTGTTGTGTCTGGTGCTGCAGGGATGCTCAGATGTGTGTCTGCATCCTGTGGCAGCCCAGCAGCTCTGGTCATGGTGCTGCTAGGTGCTGGCAGCTGTGGTCTCTGCATGCCTGCTTCCCGGTACGTACGCAGTGCTGCGCTGAGCAAAGCCTTGTTGTTGCTGCTGAGCCCTAGGAAGCGCGAGCTGTTCCAGAGGTCCCTGCAGGTGGAGGAACTGCTGCAGGCCAGGTTGTTGTGGGCTGGAGAGCCCCACTCCAAGTGCTTGGCCTCTGCTGGAGCCCAGTTGGGTCCCTGGAAAGGTTTCCCACTGGTGGGAGCCCTACAGCAGTCCTGATCTGGTGCAACTCCCTTGGGTGCCTCTGATTTCCAGTTTGAGCTGTGCCAGCCCTTTCTAGTATGCGAAGGAGCCTGTTGCCACCAGTGATGTCTCCCTCGTGCAGCCCACGTTTGTCAGCATTTGGATCTATGGGCTTCTCCTGGATGAAAAGGCAAATGAGCCCTCTGTGCATCTTGTGATGAGACCGGTTGTCTGTGCCTGGCATAATCTGGAGGTGCAGGAAGGGCTGGGCGGGGAAGCTGACCTGTGCCTGGCATGGTTTGTCCACATGCTCTCTCTTAAAACTTCCCCTGGAAATACTGCCAGCTGACCCCAAAGGAAACGCGCTCTTGGGCCACAGTTACTCTGCGGAGGAGGTCTTATAGACACAGCTTCTCTCCACCTGCTTTCTGATACAGGCCCTGCTTGGTGCCCCACGGGCTCCATCCCTGGACTCGCAGGCTGTGATGCCTGCTGCAGCATATGTGGTTGCACCCTTTGGCCACAGCCAGCATTTGGTGTGGGATTGGAAGAGCCCTGTGGCTGCTATGGGGCCGGGAGTCTAGCTTGGTGCTCTGGTAGAGATAAGCCCTGTTGAGACAGACCAAGGAGCCCTGTAAGGGCAAAGGGAGCCTGTGGGTGGGTGGACCACGCTGGGTGGCTGGCTTTGCTGCTGAGGGGTGGGTGGTATGCGGGGCTGGGCTATAGGTGCCACATTTGACGAGGTGGCAGGGAATTTAGTGCCTGGATTGTTCGTGTGGCAGCTGGGGCTGGGGGACGCTGCGCTATCAAGACAGCAGCTATGCCCTGACAACAGTGCTGTTGTGCTCTGACCCACGTGGTCTTTTGAGGACCCCAAAGGAAACGGTACCACCAGTAATCCCTTCAATGCTGCTATGTGTGGGAGGGGATTTTTGGAGAGAGCTCAAGAGCTCGGGAGTGGAGTAAAAGCCCTGATCTGGTGACTTGTTTTGGGATGGCAGGGAGGGGGAACTTTCTGCCCCAGCTGCAATGCGAGGCAGGTGCGAGAGCCCAGGAGAGGTTCTCCCACGTACCACCAAGGCTGGTTCTCCTAATGATGCTGGCTGATGGGTTTGGGCCGTGCTGAGCAGCAGCGTCCCAGGCAGCCCCTGGGAGCCACGGTGCTGGAACAGGATTGCCTCACCCATGGAGAGAGGAGCTGCCCAGGGCCCTGCTGCAGTCCAGGCTGGGCATTGAACTGGCCTGGGCCATGCTCTGTGGTCCCTTCCTGTTGAGCATTTGTGGTGCTGTGGGTCTGTGGGCCTGGTGTAGACATCCCCCCTCCCCGCCGTGCTGCACCCCTCTGCAATGTATCCCCCAGGCCTTGTTCTGCAAACCAGAGCTGGCAGTGAGCTCTGGACCAGGGTGAGTGGATGTGCAGATGGATCAGCAAGGGGAGGGCCTTCAGGGCAGCTCTGCTGCCTCAAGCTTGTCCCTGGCCCCCTGGGTGATCCCAGCTGGGGGTGGCCCATGGCTGGGCTGCAGAGGCTTGGATCCTGGGCTGCCAGCTGGCCCTGTGCACATGGTCTGGGCTTTGCAGAGCACTGGGGGGAGCCAAGGTGCCCAGGGCTTCTAGGCGTCCCAGACTGGCTGTAGGGGAAGGCAATGGGGGTCTGGTCTCGTCGGCTCGCCCGCCTCCCTTTCTGTACTGGGAGCTGTCATTGCAGCCCAAGAGAAATGTAGCGGAGGTGAGAGGAACCTGGGTCTCACCTGGGGCACAGTGTGGGGTGGGCAGGATTGGAGCCTCCTGCTGTGGCGTCCCTCCCAAGCAGCTCTGCTTTCATGACCGTGCTGGGATTTGCCCTCGCGTCCACAGAGAGTCCTGGTGATCCCCTGAGTAGGGTGCCGTGGATCTTTTGGGATGCTTCTTCCATCTCCGAGAGAATGTAGTGTGGGGGGGATGCTGAGGGCCATGGCTGGTTGGGGACTCTGTCTCAGGGGTGCCCAGCTGCAGGGCTAGGTGTGGAGATGAAGGAGCCTGGCTTTTCCAACTGGAAACAGTGCCCACCCTGCCTGGGGCGGGGGGCTGGCTCTCCCCTGTCACCTGAGTGGGGAGGATGCCCACAGCCTCCATGCCCCCTGTAGGATGGCGGGAGCGTGTAGTTGAGCTCATGGAAAGTGCATCTGCCTAGCTCTGCGCTGTTATCACGTGCCTTTTCTAATTCGGACCATGAGGACTGTGGTGCCAAGGTGGAGGGGCTCAACTCTCCTCCTACCCTGAGCCCTGGGGCAGGGCTGGGTGCCCAGGATTGGCTCTCCCTGTCCAAAATGGGCTGCCTTCCCTTTTTTAGCTGTTCGTTGAGCTGTGAATTCCTCGTTCCTGGCAGCTTGACAAGCTGGGAACAAGGCGTAGCACGTGGGAGAGCTGGGCCCACCAGCCTGCAGCGGGAGGGGTGGGAGCACAGCGCCTTAACCCTTCCCAGGCATGCTGGCAGCCATGGCAGGGCATGGGGACAGCAGGTCCTTGTGGCACGTGCTCGCATGATAGCTTGTGGAACTGTCTTCACAATCCAGGAAGAGGAGCCATGGAGACCCTGAGTATCCGAAAGAGAATCTGGGGGAAGAAAGCATGTCAGCTGCAGCATGACTGTGTGGGGCAGCGGGGATCCCCTGCCTAGCCGTGCTGGGCTCACTCGGCTCCTGCGGATCCACGCCGTGTCCTGCTGCATGCTCTGTAACTGCAGAAACTGGGGCACTGGGTGCCCTGTATCCCCTGCCTTGGTCCCAGACCCAGGAGAACCCTGTTGTTCCTGGTGCCTGGCTTTCCTGGCGATGCTGTCCTCAGCCTGGCATAGAGCATTGGCGCTTCTTGCAGGAGCGCGGTGCATGCTGGCTGTAGCTGACGTGTGGGGTCCCTCAGAAGCGCTTGCGTCGTGCCTGTCTCCTGCTAGTGGTCCAGTGAATGGGTACTCGCTCCTGGCCACGCTCTCCCTTCTCCTTTGCTCTCGGAGCTTTGCAGAGGCGTTGCCCAGAGCCTGCTAAAGCAGTTGTCGGGGTTAGGTTTGGGCCTTGCTGGTGTCCCTGGTGCCTGAGGTTTGGGCTCAACCCCTCTCCATCACCTCTTTCCGTGTGCAGCTGACCACCACCTTTAAGAGCCAGTTCTCAGCTTGCTCTTAGCCGTCTGTTTCCTGTTGTAAGGGAAGTGATGTGTGCGTTCCTGACAGGAGACGAGGCATTTGCCTTTTGAGTTTGTCCCTGCAAGGACTGCTCTTGTGTTTTGGGCACCAAAAAGCAGCCATTCCCTTCTTACAGCCTAAGGGGGCTCCTGAGTCCCTGGAGAGGGGAAGGGTTGCTCTGTCCCCTGGTGTCTTGCAAAGAGGTGTCTCAGGGGACCTGTGCAGCCCTGGGCTTGCATCCAAGGTTGATGCTGAGCTCTCTCCAGCTCTATGCTCGATGCTATGTTATTGGGTGCGGTCTCCTCGTGTTTGCCCAACGGGCTCCTCTCTGCTCCATGTGCTTGCAGTGGGCTGTGGGTATGGTTTGGCGCAGAGTTGCAACCTACAGAATTTAGCTTGGCCATGGGGGCAGATGTTGATGGGACCCAGGGTCTGGGCTGCGCTCTCACCATCTTGTCTCATCCCCCAGGACACGCTGAAGCCAGCATTCACCGTCACCAACCTGCCAGGGACAACATCCACCATCCAGACGGCCCCCACCACCTCAACCTCCATGCAGGTCAGCAGCGGCCCCTCGTTTCCTATCACTAATTACCTGGCGCCAGTGTCTGCCAGCCTCAGCCCCAATGCTGTCACCAGTGCCAATGGAACAGTGCTGAAGACTACCGGAGCCAGTGCGGTGACATCTGGGGGCCTCATGCAGATACCTACCGGCTTCACCCTCATGTCAGGTCAGTGTCTGTCAGGGCTGAGGACTATATCCATCCGTCTCGGCACCTGGAGGGCATTGCTGCCCTCCCTGGGAGAGGAGACCAAGCGGCTGGGGGGGGGAGGGGGGGTGGGGGGCCGGAAAAAAACCCAGGGTGCCGTTAGCTGACCCTGTTGCTGGGAATGGCGCGGTGGCAGGGAGCTGAGCTGGGCAGCACCAAAGAGCCGGAGGAAGTGAAAAGAGCTGATCGTGATGAAGCCTTTCTTTCTCCCTCCTTTCGGCAGGTGCTTCCCTTTCTCCGGGGACCCCTACCATTCCTCTCACTCAGTTACAGCCGCACTCCCTGGCTCTTTCCAGTCAGCAGGGCCAGGCGGTCGCGGGTACAGCTGGACAGCTGCAGCAGGCACAGCAGACAGTCTTCCGCTTCCCCACCAGAGCTGGAGGGCAGATCGTGTCGCTGACAGGTCAGCACTCGCTTCCCCTCCCCTTGCTTGAGGTGGGGGGATGGAGGTGCCCCTGGGGGTCCCAGGCCCCGGCCAGAGAGCTGATCCCAGCAGAGGCAGGAGTACGGAGGAGGAAGAGTGCGTGGGGCCCTGGCTGTGGCCCTGGGGGAGAGGTGGGAAGGCAGGAGCAGCATCCTGGAGGATGCAGACTAAGGGGAGCAGCAGGTTGTCCATCTTCTGCCCCCAGGGTTTACCCCGGGGCTGATGAAAGCGGAGGAGACAAGTTTGCTGGTGGAGCTGCACTAAGGCTGAGCTGTGCTGCTGAGAGGAGTGACGGAGGGAGGCTGTGGGGGCTGAGAGCCCAATGAGTGTTGTTTGTGTGATGGCATTTGGCTCTGAACAGCTGCCCATGCTTTTGGACCTAGATTTGCAGTCAGTTGCTGAACCATAGCGCAGGGGATGGGTTATGAGAGACCCAGGATGGTGGAAGGAAAGGCGTCATCATGCTGTCTTGTGTGCATCGTCCCTTATAGGAATTCCTTGTTGCGCCGAGTCGAGGCTGCCCGGGTGTTGTGCTAGGGCTTGGCGTGTTCCCAGCTGCGGTTTCAGACCAGGGCTAGGCTTTCCATTGTGGAGGAAGCTGCGATATGGGTACCATGAGACACCATTTCTCATGTCCTGCCTGTTTGTGCCCAAGACGATGAGTCTACTGGCCTGTGTACTTTCCTGGGGTTCTTACAGAAGCAGGTGGACAGCGTGGTCCTGCACAAGGCAGGCTGGGTTTCCCTTGTGATCTTCAGGAGCTGCGAGGATAACGAATGTGTGCCTCTGGTTTATTGCATGGGCAGATGCCCAGCCTGGGTGAGATGGCCTTGTTCCTGCTCTCTGGTGTCCCTTGCTCTTCTCTCTCTGCAGACAGAACCTGAGCCTGGTTGTGGAGGTAGTGGGGCGCTGCTGACCTGAGCATTTGGGTTCTCACGGTTTTTTGTGACGCTGTTATCCAGTCTTTGCTGGCTAACAACACAGTTCTGTTCTGCTTGGCAGAACATGGGGAGCACTGGGGGCCCATGCCAGGTCCTCTTCTCCTGATACGCCAGCGTCTTCTGTGCTGTGCCCTGGTGGATCCAGGAACAGCGAGGAGGTTCCACATGTCCCTGAACTGTGCCTGGGAGTTGGAGAAAAGCTGCTGTGGCTGTTCCTTTGCTTTCTGGAGCCTTGCAGGCCAGCGAGCTCGTCCTTGGCTGCCATGTACCAGCAAAGGGCAGGTTTTGGGGCAGGGCCTAGTTTCTGCCACATGCTGCCTTTGGCTCCCCTTCCCCAGTGCAGTGCAGAGCCAGGCTGCAGAGCTCTGCATGCCCCAGACAAGGCCCAGAGTGCCCACATTGGTCTGCGGGCTCAAGGGCTCCTTTCTTTTCCCAGGTGGTACTATGGCTCAGCAGGTCCCAGTCCAGGCAATCCAGGTGCACCAGGCACCGCAGCAGACGTCCCCCTCTAGTGACAGCAGCACTGACCTTACCCAGACCTCTTCCAGTGGAACAGGTAATCGCTACATTACGATAACCATGTTGTCTCTTCCTTCCTAGCCACTGCTGATAACAACCCCCACTGATAGACCTTGCATCTGCTCCCTGCCCAGGACTCTTATCTCAGTCCAATTCTATCTCAGCCTTTCTGACAGCTTCCTGGGAGTATTTATCCCCAAATTAATGCGTCTGGAAACGCTGTCTGCCTTTTCCTGTTGCCAGCCCCTGGGCCTGGCTATGTCACATCTAGGTAGATGTTGCTGTACATCTGCCTACCTGGTGAAGGTACCTTGCACCATCACCTCGCATGGGATCGTTGAGCCTCTCCAGATCTGTCACCTGCTCTTACTTTTGCAGCACGTAGCTGGGGAGCAGGCTGCTGAAACTGCTTCCCAGTTTCCAGCTGGTTTCTTAGGGCTAAGTGAGCCAGCGTTGCCCCCAGCGCAAGGCATTGGCTCATGTCCGCTTGAGATTTTTACTGTACATGCAGAGGACAGCTCTGTTGTCAGCAAAGTTCAAGTTCAGGTGCGCAGATGCGGGGTGAACCTGGTTCAACAGCTTTATTAAAGCTTCATTAGGAAACACGTACCTTAGGTTGAATTAGATCCTGGGGTATTTGGCTACTGTACCTTTCCTTCCTCTCATCCTCACTGACGCAAGGAGACATTTGAGCTCTCCTGCCCTTTGCCTGGGGTTTCTCCCTGGGAGCCTGGGAGAACAAGACTGGCATCTCCATGTCCCTGCTGCTCCAGGGCACCATGCCAAAGGTGTTCTAGAGCTGGCTGTGCCATGCCTTGGGGGCAAGTAGTAGCTGAGGGAGGGATGCTGAGCTGGCATGTAAGTGGAGCAGACTCCTTTTGTGTGGCTTATATTTACTCTGTCTTGGTGCCAGTGACCCTCCCAGCAACCATCATGACGTCGTCTGTGCCAACCACTGTGGGTGGCCACATGATGTACCCCAGTCCACATGCGGTGATGTACGCACCCACATCTGGCCTCGCGGACGGTGGACTCGCAGTCCTCAACGCTTTCTCCCAGGCACCTTCGGCAATGCAGGTGTCCCACAGCCAGGTCCAGGATCAGGGTAAGCTGTGTGGGGCGATGTTCCCTTACGTGCTCCAACACCCTCATTTGCTCCTTCTCACATATATGAATGTTACATGCTTATTCCAAAAGGTTTTCTCCTAAGTAGTCCTAGCTGTGCCACGCAAAGACCTGGCAAAGGGTGATGCTTGAGATGTGCTTTTAGATCCCCCATCCTTCTCCTGTGTAAGGGATTGCTTGAGCCATTTGGCTGGCGAAGATGTGAGGGCTGCCAGGGTGGGTGGGATACAGGGCAGGGAGCTGGGAGCAGCCCTGCTGGCTGCTCTGGAAAGGATGTGTGGCTTCATGAGGGGATGAAGCAGAATGAAGCCGTGCAGGCGACACTTGGATCGAGGGCTTGTGCCTCTTTCTCCTAGCATTTGGAAAAACAGCTGACGTGGCTTTCACCTGGGATGCCTCAGTGTATGCAAACAGGCACCTTCATCCTTGTGAAGCTTCACAGAGTTCAGAGGAAAGGCTCAGAGAAAGGACCCATGGGGGAGCACTACTTAGGGGACGGTGTCATTCTTGCTCTCCCTCTGTCCATGACAGGTGGTGTCCCCCAAGTGTTCCTGACAGCTCCATCAGGCACTGTTCAGATCCCAGTCTCAGCTGTCCAGCTTCACCAGGTAGGCATAGAGCACTGCTTGTGGGTGTTGAAGGGGTATCCTTGCTCCCCTTGTGGGTCAGTGTTAACCCTGCTCTGTCCCTGCTTACACATCCTTTGCGGATCCAAGCAGACTTGGGCGATTGGGTAGAGCCAGTCCCCAGGTCTCTGAGAGCTGGGAATACTGCTCATTCCACCTGCCTCCGGGTGTGGAGGTTTCATCCTCCTTGAGCGGGTGCCCGGGAGGAACAATGCCACCCTGGCTGCTGGTGTGCCTGGTCTGAGGGCATGCCGTCCCCCAGTGCTTGCTCCTCCCTTCTCTCTCTAGATGGCTGTCATCGGGCAGCAGAGCAGCAGTGGCAGCAGCCTGACGGAGCTGCAGGTGGTCAACTTGGACACCTCACATGGCACAAAGAGTGACTGAGGCCTCTGCTGCTGGCCTCGTGCCATCCCTGGCCTGTTACGCTGGCGCCGGGGCTGGCAGCGATTCCTTCTCATACAGACTGCACCAGTTATTTATTGTTGCCTTTTCACGTTTCCTTCACCCACCCACCCACACATGCACGCACTGCCCCCATCCTCCCCCAAACACACAGGCATGCATGTGGGGCTGCAGGACCCACACTGGGGGTGGAGCTGCACTGGGACCGTGCAGGGCTTGGGGGCATTTGGATGCTGCGATAGCTGTGCTTTTTTCACGCCAGCCAAAGAAACTTGTCCCTCAAGGGGAAGGCATGCTCCATGCTGTAAATAAATACTGCGGGCCGTTCCCAGCTGGAAGCTCTGGCTCCTTCAGGATGCTCTGGGTCACCTCAGGCCCAGATCTGTCCCACAGGCCACAGCCCAAAGCGGAGCAGGCCAAGGCTGTGCTGCTGGCCTCAGCAATGTGCCTTTGGGAGGGGTGACACGTCCTGGCCACAGCAGCTGGCTCTGAGCTCTGTTGGGGAAGAACGGTCAGCTCAGATGTGCTTCTCGGGCTCAGCCTGTGCGCACTCCTTCTGGACAGCGGTGGGGGCCTCCTCAGGCAGGGTGCTGCCTGCAGCCCGTGGCCGCATCCCCCTCGTATGCACTACAGCGAGCCCTTGGCCCTCAGTGCCTCGTTGTTGGGCCGCCCGGCAGGTTTGCAGCCCACCCTGCTCTGCCACTGGCAGACGACACCCTCACACTGCCAAAGCAGTCGGTGGGTGCCCAGGACCACAACGACACCCCAGAGACCTCCTGAGGTGCTCTGCGGCCAGCCCAGCCCCACGTTCTCGTCTTGGCCCTCGCTGCGAGCAGTGCAGTCTCCGTACGTCCAAGGGGACGTGTCTGGGTGTCTCCCACGACCCCCTGCAGCTCTGGCCAGCACTTCTAAATTCCTGTGTCTGATACAAGGTGGAGAAACAACTCAAGCGTCAAAAAGAAGAGTCCATGGGGCACCAAGCTGCTGGGCAGGTGGCAGACTCTTCCTCTGGGCACCAGGGTGGCCCGCAGGCTTTCTCAGGCTGTGGAGGAGCTGCTGTGACACCTGTGCAGGCATGGCAGGGCTGGGGGAAGAGGGCTGGAGCATACCTGCTCCTGCAGGGGAGTTGCTGCAAGCGGCTCTGCTACCTAGCCCTGTCCCTGGAGGGAGAGCGAGCAAGTGAGAGAGAAGCTGCTGAATCCTTAGGGGAAGGAGCAGCTACTGTAACTTTTTTTTTTTTAAGTTAAAAGACAAAAGAAGCCTTGAAAAAAAAATGACTTTATTTTTCTAAGTGTTAAACTCAGTATTTATGTAATTCTTTAAGGAATAAAAGTTTGGCTCCTGTACAGTTTTCATGGGGTTTGTACCTGGGGGACGGGAGAGGGGTGGGTGGGCATGGAGACAGGAAGGGGCCTTGCTTTTGAGTTTGTATTGTAACCTTGGATAATGTTCCTTCAGCATTAGCGTTTAAGCTGCGCTCTCTGCCCACCAGCACGTGCCAGGGACTGAGCTGGATGCTTGTTTTCCTCTTCCCTGCACTGAGGACTCCATACCTGTAATTTCAGGCTTAATTGGTGGGAGGCAAGTGAAGGAGCAGCTGCTCTGCAGGAGCGGGGAACCTGCCCCTTGGGAGTAAGTGGCTTGCAAGGTGTCCAGCAGCCCCATCCACCTCTGCTCTGGGGGAGCGTGGCTGTTTTGGCCTGGAGCAGCCCTGCCCGCAACTGCCTGAGGGGCTGTGGGCATCCCCAGTCCTCCCTGGGCTCCGAGGGACTGATCCCTGCTCTCTGTCTGCTTGTGGTGCAGCTGGCCTCTCCTGAACTCCTGGCCTCAGCTGGTGCCACTCCTTAATGCACAGATAGGGACAGGGCCCTTCCAAGCCCCGCTGTGCTATGGCAGCTCCCAGAATGGTCTACCAGCCCTAGTCTGCCAAGCAGCCTCTGAAGGGCCCATGTGGAGCAGGGTGGCCCATCTGGTGACAGTGACATAGCATTCTGCCTCCTCTTAGTAGCCTTGCTCTTAACGGTGATGCATCTCCTGCAGCTGGGAGCAGCGGGGTTGCTGTGCCATGCCCCAGGCCATTGCTAGGTGTACGGAGGCTGCTCAGTGATGCCTCCGAAAAACAGGGCTGGGTAGCTAGGAGCTGGCCCAGGGTGAAAAACGGAGGTTGAGGTTTGCGTTACACTTTACCTCAGCAGATCGTCATGGCCTGGCTTTGTTCTGCTTTGCTTGTGCTAGCGCTGTGGAGCAGAGCTGTTGGGCTGGGGCGGCAGGAGCACCCCTGCTGCTACAGGGTGTCTCATTGCTTCCCCTCTCTGGCTTCCCAAAGGCAACCGCTGGTTAAACGCTAATGGTGTATTTTATTTAAGTGCAGACTTGTAAGAACACTTGTTTATCAGGGACGAAACAACATTTATTGTGTGGTGACATTTTTTTAGTTCATTTTACTGGTTTGGGGGTTGTGTGCGTGTGTGCATGAGTGAGTGTGTGCGTGTCAATGTGTGTGTGGTGGGGTTATTTTTTTTTCCAGTTTCCAGGGTTGTGTTTCTGGAAGGATGTGGAAGTAATCACAGTACTATGTACAGAGCTTTCTTTTGTATTAAAAAAAAAAATACTCTTTCAATAAATGTTATCATTTTGTGCACAGATTTGGGGTCTTGGCCGTGCTTTCGGGGGGGACCTTAAGGAAAAATCAGGGTCAACACAGGGTCCATGCGTGCACCTCGGAGGGAGAGGGGCTGTTTGGGCATGATGTGGCAGAGAGGGAGAGGTTCCTCGTAAAGGTCTCCATCCCTACTTCCTCTTGTGTGGGTGAGCCCTGACAAGCCAGGTTTCCACTTAGGGCTATCCAGAGCCAGTGAGGGGGCCAGAGAGGGGTCTGTGGCCAACAGGTGGGCCACAAGGGCTGTCCTTTCTGAAAGCTGAGGAACAGTGCTGGTTGTCAGAGCATGGTGTGGGGCTCAGAGAAGAACCAGGAGTTGAGCAGGAACGGGGACCTTTGAAGCATAAAACAACTGCCCCGGTGTCACAGGTGGTTACAGGGAGGAGCACAAAGACTTTGAGCAAGAGTTAAAACAGCGAGGGGAAGCAGAGCAGGTTGCCCAAGGTTGCTTAGAACATGCAGTAACTAAGGCCAAGCAAAAGGACTTTTTTGCCATTGTAACATCAAAGAACAGATGGTCCCTGGACCTGGCCCCAAGCGGATTATGTATTGATGAACTACCATGAACAAAAGGAGGATAGCAGTAGTTTTTAGTAGTGGCAGAGGTGTTTGCAGGACAGGTAGAAGAGTTTTGTATGAAGATGTTGCTGCTAAGGTATTGTTTAAAGAACTGTTTATCTGATATAAAGGCTGGAGCCCAACTATTGTCGTTATGAGGCCCAGCACCAAGGCGTTATATTCCCCGCAGAAAACAGCTATGAGAAGATAAGGCAATATTCAAAGGCCAGCCTGGAGCATCATTACTTAAAGCCAGGTTGAGGGCAGATGCTGGTAGACCCCCCCCCCCCCCCCACACCCACGAAAAGCCAGGTTATGGCACATGGGGATATCAGTAATGTGACTAAAGGGAAGGAAACCTCGCTTGGAGACCAAAGGGAGAAGGGCTCCTTACAATCATCAGTGCTGCTGGGCCACCAGTATGCCAGCTAAGAACATAACTATTAGCCCTGTGTAGTGCCAGGTCTTGGACCGGGTACTTT